AAAAAAAGGCGGCTGTTTCTTCTTTAACTTGGGAATTGTCAGATGAGCAGGCAGAAGCAAGCCCTGCCCAATTGTGATTAAATCGAGTCTATCCGTTAGAATTAAGAAAACAAGCAAAAAGTTTAGAAATTAGCGGAGAATGACTGAGGGGTTCTTTGGATTTGGCTGATTTCATTAATGTGGAAGAATTATATTGTTATGATAACCAATTAACCGGAATTAAATGGGCTACTAGTGTACCAAGTAAATTACGGGTCTTGCACGTGGGAAATAATAATTTTCCGGCTCAAGATCTATCTTTATTTAGTTCTTTGGCGGCTTTAGAAACACTTAACCTAGGAAATAATAATTTTACTGGCAGTTTGCGGTGGTTAGAAGGTTTAATCAATCTCCAAGCATTAGATATCAGCGATACTAATATTGATAGCGGCTTAAATTATTTGCCAAAGAGTGTGAAAAGTTTATTTTGTCGAGTAGAAAGAAAAGTTAGTTGTCAAAAAATTAAGGAAGAATTAGAAAATTATCATTTGGGGCATGATTGCTATGACTTGGCTGCCTGGCGAAAGGTAGAAAATTTGTCAGCCATGCCTGGTTCCTGATATAAAAATGAAGAAGAAAACAATAACAAAGAGTTTTATAATTTAGGCACGGGATTAGCAGATCCAGAAGAGAAATTCCTGAAACTGGCTGGCAACATTTTTCATGAACTTGCCCAGAGCAAAAGAGAAAAAATTGATACAACGCTCTGGCAAAAGAAGTTAAGAGAATTCCGTCAGGCGTTGGCCGAGATGGACCAAAGTGAAGAAGAAAATGTTTTTAACCTGACTAATTTCCGGAACAGATTTAAATTTGATCCACATGATCTAGTGTCCGTAGTTGAAAAATACATATTAGCACAGGAAAAGGAAAATAGCAAGCAAAGCGAGGAGAAGTTAGGGTCCCAAGATATTCTTATAACCCAAATTGAGAATAAATTGCTGGTCCAATCCCTGATGGAAACCAAGAAGTATCAAGATTATATTGACAATTTGCAAAGTCGGCTAGAAAAAAAAGAAGAAGAAATAACCGAATTAGAAATAACAATAGTTGAGTTAGATAAAATTAACGAGAAAATGTGCCAGGAAAAAGAAATTCTTGTAACCGAGTTAAGCAAGAAAAACGAAAAGATGATTATTCTACAAGAGCAAATGAAGATTCTAGAATTAAAAATATTAAAAAATCTATACAAAAACAAAATAACAACTAATATGACAGAAAAAGAAAAAAATAGCAATAACATAATAAGCGAACAAAAAGTATATATTTTAGAATGAAAAAGTGCGGAAATTAAAGGTGGAACGATGCCTTGTGAAAAATTTGCGGTAATTGCTGGTAGCGAGCAGGAAAGTTTATCTTTTTACTCCACTTTCTTTACCGATAATATTAAGTTTAAAAAGGGAGATATTTATCAACTTTCTACTTCCGGAAGTCTGGTGCAAGATTCTTCTGAAATCGTTCAAGGAATTAGCAATGGAAGTTATGAATTTGAGAAATCTTTCCCCTCTTTATTGATTAAAGAGTTGTGGGAGTCCAACCAAGAAAATATTGAGGAACTGGATTTGTTAAAAAAAGAATTTGAAGACAAGAAGAAATATGTTGATGGAATAAATGAAGATTTGCACAAGTCTAAAGAGGAAACAGTTCAATTAAAAAAACAATTCGATGAACTCCAAAAAGCAAAAAATAAACTACAAGAAGAAAAAGAAAAAGTTGATAAAGAACTAAGATCATTAAGGGAGGAATTACAAAATGAATTAAAAAATGTTAGAGAAAAAAACCAACAATTAGCCAGCAGTGAGGAGAATGTAAAAAAATTGACCAATCAATTAAGCGATCTGCAAAAGGAGAAAATTCAAATCGAAAATGAGCGAATTACCCCGGAAAGATATATGAAAATGCTCCAAGAGAAAGAAAGTTTGAAAGAGGAATTAAAATCTGAAAGAAAAAGAAGACAAACCTCTGATGAACGAGCCGAAGAGTTCGTTCAAGAAGGGCTAAGTGATACTATTGAAACCAAATTACAAACCAAGAAAAATGAATTACAACAGTTGAAATTTAGTGCTAATAAAAAATTGGGAAGCGAACAAGAAGGTCTTTTAAAAGAACTTTTAGACAGACATGAGGCCTTAGAAGTAATGCTCTTTGAAGAAGTTAATCAAAAGAGCAGAAGTTTCACTAATGCCCAAAAGAGATTGCAAGAAGCCAAAGATAATTTAATAGGCAAGTTGGATGATGAAGAAATCGAAGAAATTTGCCAATTGCAAACCGAGATAATTAAGTTAGAAAATAGCCAGAGTTACTGAGAAAAAATGGAAGAGCAGCAGGAAAGCCAGAAGGCGAAGGAAGAATATGAATCATTTGAGAGTGTTCCTCCCAAATATTCCGCAAATTAGTATAACTTTGTGTTAATCTAATTGGAAGTTAACTGATGAATTTGAAACTCCCGTCTCTTTTATGTGGCGGGAGTAATTATCTTAAAAACTAGTAAATAACATTGCATACGCAAATAATAATGCAAATATGGTAAATTGGAAAAATATACATCAAGATTTTACTGAGGAATTAAGCCAACAATGGCAAGAATTAGGATTTAATTACGAAGAATGCAAAGAATGAGTTGAGGGAGGATTTGAGCCACAAGATTATGGTTTAGTATTTTTTGTATATAACAGTTTGGGGCTTAACGCTAAAAATTCCTTAAATAATTACAATTTAGAAACGCTGAAAAACTTTTATCAGGAAAATTTACAAGAGCAAGAAATAATTGCCCAAACCATTGAAGATGGCCGTGAAGACGAACAAGAAGAAATTGCCCGAGCCATTGACCTCTCTTTAAGAAGTCCCAATTCTTTGGCTATCGAACCGGAAGAAACCGACCAGAGTACGGCAGAGCTAACTAATCGCCTTAACTATTTAACTGCCCAGGTGGTTTCTGCGGAGGAAAGAATTCAAGAATTAGAAGAGTCTAATGAGGAATTGAAAAAAAGCAAAAATGAAATAGAAGAAATTGTGAGGGAATTAAATTTAGAAAATGCTGATTGGAAAAGACAGGTAGAAGAACTTAGGCAAGAAAATGAAGCCTTGACTACCGAAATAGAGAAGTTAAAAATAGAAATTAGACAAAATAGGTTAACTTCCTCCCAACACCAGGTCCAAATTGCTAATTCTAATCAAGAAATAATTAGGCTTAATAATCAATTGGCAACCAGCCAACTTAATTGGCAAAATGAGCAGCAAACTCATCGGCAAACAAAAAATGATTTGAATAGGGCTCAAATCACTATCCAAAAATTAGAGGAGCAGTTAGAAAATTTGCCTAAACAAATTGTTGTTCAGAAAGAACAAATTGACGATTTACAAAAAAAATTGCAACAAAAGCGACGGGAATTAGAGCAAGGTTCAACTTTGCAGCAGAAAAATCAGGCTACTATTCAAGATTTAACCAACCGCTTAAATAACGTTCAAAACGATTGACAAAGCGAACAAAAGGCGAGAAAAAATGCCGAGCAGATTATCCAACAATTACAAGAACAAGCGAATATTTTAACTCAAACTAAAGAGTCTCGGCCTGATATTACGGTGGCGGCTTTTCACCAATTAAAGCAAGAGTGAGAAGAAAAATTTCACCAAACCCAACAGGAAAAACAAGAATTAGCAACCAAAAACCAGAATTTAAAAACTCAATTAGGAGAAAAAGAGCAAAAAGAGTTCTCAGAAATCACGCAAAATCAACAATCTATCCAGCAATTAACCGAAAAATTACAAACGACGGAACAATTACTCAACGATAAGACCAAGGAAAATCAAAAATCTCAGGAATTATTACGAAGTCAAGCCCGAGAAATAGAATTATTACAGCAAGAAAACCAAGAACTTAAAATTAAAAGAAAAAATTATTGTCAAAGTATACTGCAAGAGATGTTGGAAGAACAATCTAAACTACAAAACATTTCCAGTAGCAAGGATATAATGTATTATTTAGATAAACAACAAAAATTAATTGATAAATTGACTAGTAATTTTGGGGCAGAGTTAAATAATGAACAATGGCAAATGCTTTATCAGTTGCAAAAGCAAATGAATAAATTACAAACTAGCCTGCTGGAAGTTAAAGTAGAAATGCTATCCAAATAAAGAAGCATTATAGAAATTATAAAAAAACAAAGAAAGAAAACAATATGGTAAACAATAAAGAAAAAGCCTACACCACACTTAATTTGAGTCCGGAGGCTACAGAATTAGAAATTAAAAAAGCCTATCGGAAATTATTCTTTGAATATCATCCGGAAAGGAACATTAATTCTTCCGATAGTCAAAATAAATGACAAGAAATAAAAGAGGCCTACGAGTTATTGAAACCCGAGTTATCCATAGATTACAAAGTCAATTTTGGGGTTTCTGAAACCGAAATCAAAGAATTTTTGGATGAAGAAGTAATTGATACTTTTGCTTCTCCCCAACTAAAAAATTTACTTAGCAGAGAAACAATAAGGGAAGCAATTTCTAGCGAAGAGAATTGAGAAAAATATAAAGAAGAAAAGAAAATTAAGGAAGCATTAATTAGTGAAAGCCAAAGCGATAAAAGGGGAGAATTCAATAATTTAAGTTACTATCTAGATCAATGGAAAGAAATAGAAAGGGACAATTTAAAGTACGGGAGTTTACAGACACGGGTTCCCGAAAAAAATTTAGAAGAAATAAAAAAAATTTATCAGGCTGGTGAATGGGAAAATTTCTTTTCTTGGGAGGAAGCAGAGGAAGCCGCTAGTGCAGAAGGGTTGATGAAAAGAATGGAGAATTGAAATAAACTGCTAGAAAAATGAAGCCAAGTTAACAAATTGGAATTAGAAAAGCGAGATAGAGCAGAAGAAGATCTGCGTTCCTTGCGGAATTTGAAAAGAAAAATTTCGGAAAACATAACTAAAATAAAAAAATGCTTTGAGTACCTAACCAAGGATGGAATAAATACCGAGGAAGTTTTAATTTTCTTTTTGCCCAAACAGAGGCAAATATTAAAAAATTGACTTAATCAGTTACACTTATTTTATGGTTTATATGGTTTAAGAGTTGATCAAAGAATTTACAATTGAAATACTAGTGAGTGAGAAGATTTAGAGAAAAAAGTTGCGGCTTGAATAAAAAACCATTTTGACGATTATAACGCTTTACAAATAGCAGTAAGTAAAAAAAAAGATTGAGAGAAAGCACGAAGTAAATATCAATTTTTTGAGGACGAATGAGACGAACATTTAGCAGCCCTTCAGGCCGCCAAGGATGTGAAAGAAATTTCATTGTGGTCAGCTGGGTTACAATACACCGAAAAGGATACGGAAAAATATTATGATGTTTTGGGATTGACAGAAGATGCGACACCGGAAGAAATTAAAGAAAGATACAACGAACTTTCTCTTCTCTATCACCCTGATCGACAAATAGGTAAAACAGAGATCGAAAAAGAGCAAGCAGAAGAAAAATTCAAATCCATAAATAATGCTTACGGAGTTTTGGGTAACAAAATTGACAAAATGAAATATGACCTTTGCCTACTTAAAAATGACGAAGATAATACATACCTAAACTGAGAAAAATGGAAAAAATTTTTCACTTCTCAACAAGTTATTGATAAGGAATTTGTCAAAAAAATTGAATTGGCCTTACAGGGAGAATTAGAGACTAACAATTTAAGGCAGGAAGAATTGACTGCTTATTGTGAAAATTGGAGATCATATCACTTTTTTCATAAGAAAAGCGATAGCGGAAAAGCAGAGGGTTTAATAGAAATAAAAGATTTTTGAAATTTTTGTTTGGAAAAAGGTGCGGAGAGAGGTAAAAAAGAAGGAATCAAACCTTATCAAGCCATTAAGTACGCTCGCGATTATTTAAATATTATTCAGTTAGCAGCAGCGAATAAAAAATTAACCGAGACTTCTTTGGAAGATATTGACAAGCAATTATCCTCAGAGGAAAATGGTCCTAAATTAACTCCGGCAGAATTGAATGAACCCAACCGCACACAGAATATTTACGATAATTACGGAAATTATCGAGAAATAATTACTAATCTAACTATTGATTTTTTAGCCGAAGAAAAAAAAATTAAATCCCGAAAATTAAAGGACAAATTAGATAAATTTATTGAAAGGGTCAAAGACAGAATTACCGACGTAAGAAAAACAAAAAGCAAAATATTAACAGAATTGGACCAAAAAATAAAAGCTGGCAACGATCTTGTTAATAATTTGACGGAGGATAAAGAAATAATTAATAATTTCTTAACCGACTTTACTGGCTTTTTGGCAGAAACACGGACCAAGACAAGTTATGAGGGAGAAGTAGAAAAGTTAATTGTTGACGAGAATGAGGAAGCGTTGAAAAAGGAAGTAGTTGTGGTTAAAGTAAATAAAGAGGTGATTAAGCAGATTCTTAACCAAAAAGAATCCGAGATAAACATATTAATTAGCCACTTAAAAGAATACCTCGAATTGGAGCAAGTTACTGAAAAATTAAAAGAGGAAATTCGAGATTTTTCTGATAATAATGAATCTATTAGTGAAGAACAAAAACGAGCCATTATTGAATATTTAGACGATTTAATTTTTCAGGCGTATTGAGAAAAAAAAGGCCCTGTCAGCAAAAACAATTTAGAGCAAGCCCAAAATAATATAATTCAAACCTTTTACTATCAAGGTAGCAAAGATTATTCGCTAGCGATCAATGAAACTAATAGTAAAGAAAAAGCCGAAAATATTAGGGCTAAAATAGTTGATGAAGTCATTTTTTACTGCGAGCATGTAAAAGAATACAAAAGGGAAATCGGTAATGAGAACGACCATCCAATTTACGAAGCAGTGAAAGGAAGTTCAAAAAAAGTTAAAGAGATTCTGACCGGTTTTGTTGCTCTGTTAAAACAAGAAACTGAAATGGAATTAGGAAAAAGTTTTACTACTTTATTGCCCGAACAACAAAATTTATTGAAAATTTCCGGAGAAAGTAATAATTCGGCTAGAAATCTTACCGAAAATAAACGAAAAATAAAAGCGGCCAATCCAATTAATAATCAGCAAGATACAGAAAATGGAGAATGGGAAATGCTAAAATCAGAGCAGGAAACGGCTCGGACCGAGGCAGAAAGATTGACTCAAGCAACTGCTCAGCAAGAAGAATGAGACTGCCTGATCCACGAACAAAACGAGCATGGGGCTCAAGCAAAACGAGAGCAAGAAGAAAAAATGCGTCAAGACAAAGCAGACAAAGCCATCAATAAATTAAAAAACCATTGGAAAAGTCAACAAGACAATAACAACAAAATTAATGAGAAAACAGAAATTACTATTTTGGGGGAAAATTGAGAAGATAATTTTCGCTCCCTCGCTGCCGAAAAAATTGATATTGAATTTAATAATTTAAAAAGGCTTATTGACAACGAAAAATTAACCGAGCGAGAAATAACAATAACTGATTATGATACTTTGTGAGAGGATATCCAAAAGGCTACTAATCAAGAAGAATTAAATGTTTTAAACGACCGCATAAACGAACTAAATTATGGCAATTTGCCACCGAAAAAAAAACAAGTTTTTCTGGAAGAACTTCAAAAAAATCAACGAGTAAAAATTTGACAAGACACGGCCATTGAAGAGGTAGAAAATTACTGAATAAAACAATCGGGTTCGGTTATTAACGGTTTAATAGATGGAAAACCTAAACGAGATATATTGCTTGACAATTGACAAAAACTTATTCGCGACCAAACTGCTGAAGGCCGAATCAACCAGCAATGCGATATCTTGAAAGGTTTAATAACTAATGCCAAAAATGAGGAAAAGCGAAAAATTGTTATGATGCAAAATTCGGTCATTAAGGGAATTAATGAACTTTGAAGTAAAAATGAAAAGAATGGGAAAATCAATAATAAAAGCCAAAATGATATTCTTGGTTCCAATTGACAAAATGATATCAGAGCCTTAAATTCTGTTGAGAAAATTAACGAAAAGAATGGTTACTTTATTAAATTAATCAAAAAAGCCATCGAGGAACAGGGGCAGAAAAAAAATTTAACTATTTTTTCTCTTTTTGCGGGAAAAGAAAAAACAATAGAAGAAAAATGAGAAAAACTAAACAAAGGTTTAAAAGAACTCTATCAAGGAAAATGGACGGATCTATTTTTTTATAAAAACGCCATGCAAAATTGATTTAATAATTTAGTAACTGTTCTTAGTGAAAATCATAACCAGCAATTTTTAGAACAAACTTTCGGAGAAACTTGAGCCGAAAAAAAGGATAAAATACTAGAAGAACTAGAAAAACAAATGAGTTTAGAAATTGGTAGCAATGAGGCATTTAAAAAGAATTTTTATTTTAATCAGATAATTTGAGACAGAAATGAAACGAATCAGTATCTCCACAAAATAATTAAGACTATTGAGGAAAGAGAAGCCGACACAGCCGCCGTTAAGGAAATAAAAGAGTATTGAAATCAAGTCAGTTTTCAAATGGCAAAACCCGCCGACATTTCAAACATTTTAGGAACCAACTGGGAGCATAAAGAACAAATTAGAAAAAAAAAAGAATTTTTCATTAATGAAATTAGGGTTGAGGAGGCAAAACAATTTTTAGAAAAAGCCCTGGAAATTGCTGAACTGGAAATGTCGGAATTAGAAGGAAACGACTTTATTGCCGAACTGTGCCAAATAAAAACTTCCGAGCAAAAGATAATTAATTTTCGTATTTCAGCATTCAAAAAAATAGTGGAAAGAGGAATCAACAGAGCACTTAAAAATGAAAATCCACATGTTCCTTATAACAAACTAACTGGCGACCCAAAAAGCAGCATTCTCCAAGTAAATAGCGAACAAGATAAATTGAATGCTTTTGCCGAAATTCTAAGCCAAATTAAAACCAAGCGTCAGAAAGTTGCTGAGGATTTACTGCAAGAATTAATTAACGAAGAAACCCCTAGTAACCATAGTGAATTACAAAATTATCTCAACAATTTACAACGATTAATTCCACACAACAACAATGTTGCGAACCGAACAGCCGAAAGAAAAAATTCGGACAATACTGACATAAAACTTAGCGTGCCGCAAATTGAGGCCTATCGAAGCAAGAAAAACGATATTGATAAAAAAGAATTAAAATTAATTCATGCTCTGGCTTTATTTGAGGATGATGAGAATAAATTATGAACTGATACTAACCCGTGTGGCTTGACGATTCAAGAAAAACAAGAACTAGAAAAAGCAACTAAAAATAATATTCAGAAAATAAAAAAAAATGTTCGTCAAAATCGTAAAGAAAGGTGAAATAAAGCCCAAGAAAAGGTTAATAATTATTTGTCATCCCTTAACCATTCCATAAAAGGTATCGACCAGACAGAAATCAGCGAAAATCTAAAAAAGTTAAAAATACTTCAAGCGAGAGGCATATTGGAGGAAAAAAAGGCTCTAGAAATGGCTAAAAACACCGAATGAGAAAATCGAGCCCAGAATCGAATTAACGAATTAAAAGCAGAGATTGCCAAGTGAGAGAAAATAAAAAGTGATATTTTGTCCGAAACGGAACTTGACAAATTAGAGAAAGGGGGGTATTGAGATAGCGAAATAGAAAGTTTGCGCGAATATTTGCTGACTTCGGACAAACAAAAAAGCCCTTTAGAAAGCAAACGAAACAAACGGTATGAAGAGTTAGAAAAAATTAATAAATCAATCAAAAAAATGAACGAAACTGAAGTTTGGAAAGAATTAAAAGAACTCTATCAAAAAACTATCGATGAAATCAATAATTTCATGACAACCAGCGAGGGAAGGGAAAAATTGTCCAAAAAAAATTTTGTTGTTTATACTTCTCTCAATCCCCAAAATCTTTTCAACCAAGCAATCAATAAAATCCAAGAATCTATTAGAAATTGCAGTAGTGCAGAAGAAATTGATAACCAACTAGGACCGGCTATCAAGGAACTAGAAAAAGACCTAAATAATAAGATTTATGGACTGAAACCAGCAACCGACCAGTGAAATACTGAACTCAGAGAAGCACTGGAAAGAAAAAAGGAGGAATTGGTTTTCTGTCAAAGATTCCGAAGTCAGACGGGAGTCAAAAGCGAACAAATTGCTGACAATGACATTCTTCCTTACCTCAGCACTGGGTTGACCGCAGAAAGAGCTGCCAATGCTTACTCTTTTTTTAATCCTCAACAAAGAATTCTGGTTAAGGAAATTATCAACAAACAAGCCATCTTTGCCGGTCGAACCTATGATTTACAAACCGACAACGGCTTAAAAAAAGCCCAAGCGGCTAAACTTTTCCTACACGATTTTCACAGCCAAAAAGGCACTAAATTTGAAATCGATGACAAGAAAATTTTAGATTATCAGGAAGTAGGTATTACTGGGAAACAAGCCTTTAATGCTTACCAACAAGGATGAAAAGTTCCTGACCAAATTCGGATTAATAATGGCAAAAGAGAAATTAATGTCGGGACGGGTTGATGAGACTACGATTGAGAGAAAGAAACGTCTACCAAAGCACTTTATCTTTTTAATAAAGATTACAATAAAATGAGTAATGAAGAACTAATTGCTGAAATTCAGAAGTTACGGGCAGAAATATGGTCAATGAAAGATGATGATGGACGAATAAAGAAAATATTAGAGAAACACGAACTTTCCACTACCGGACAAAAACCAACCAAATCGGGCAATTTCCCGTTTGAGTTTTTATTAATTTTAATTGTCGGTTTGCTATTGGTTATTTTTGGTTACACTGCTTTAACAATCAAGAGAAAAAGAAGAAAATTTTGATAACTTTACAACCTAAAAACATGATAATTATATCCCTAGAAACCAGTTGTGACGAAACGAGTACTGCCATTTTAGAAAACAAAAAAGTTCTCAGTAATATTACTATTTCACAAATATTAGAACAACAAAAATATGGTGGAGTAATGCCTAGTTTGGCCGCTAAATTACACGTTAAAAATATTCAAAAAGTCCTAAAAAAAACTTTATCCACCGCTAAAATTTCTCCCGAGCAAATTGATTATATTGCCTATACCGAAAAACCAGGCTTAATCATTTGTCTCCAAATTGGCAAAATAGTGGCTGAAACTTTGGCCTTATATCTCAACAAACCGCTCCTGCCTGTTAATGATTTAGAAGGCCACATATACGCTAGCCTGCTGGAAAAAAAGGAGGAATGAGAATTTCCAGCCTTGTCCTTAATTATTAGTGGCGGACATACTCAGATTTACCGGCTAAATAGCCATTCTGATTTTATTCTCTTGGGCGAAACTTGTGATGATGCCATTGGTGAATGTTTGGATAAATCAGCCATTTTGCTGGGTTATAATTATCCAGGAGGTCCAGCCATTGAAAATTTGGCTCAAACTGGAGAAAATACTTATCGGTTGCCTTTTCCCAAAAATGATAAAAGTTTTGACTTTAGTTTCAGTGGATTGAAAAGTGAAATTAGTCGTCTAATAAGCAAGGAAAAAGAGAACATTAATGTTAATGACCTGGCTTGTTCACTCCAATGCATTTTGGCTGAAATATTAACCAAAAAATTAAAAAGGGCTTGGTTAACTGTTCGGGCAAAAACTATCATAATTGGTGGAGGGGTAATTGCTAATAAATTTTTAAGAAATTATTTGACAAAAAACCTTCAAAAATGAGACAAAAAGATAAAAATATTTTTTCCCGAAATTAGATATTCCACGGACAATGCGGCTATGATTGGAGTTTTGGCACATTATAAGACTAAAAATAAAAAGGACGAAAGGTAAATAAAGCAAAAAATTAAGACTATGCTTATTCGTGGTGCCTGCCTAAGGGCACCAGAAGAATTGAAATTTAATTAGATATTTATTATTATTGTTAATCATGGTTGTATATTTGTAAATAATTTTTTTAATATTTTATATTTTATACTTTGTGCATTAGGGAAGGGTGATTTTTTTTGCAGAAAAAATATAATATATGGCCAAGTGGTTAAAAATAGTGGTTACTGACTAGGCTTGCATGATGAAGAAACATTTTCTAAAATGAGACAAGATCATCTTAATTTTAACCAGCAGAAAGAATTAGAGGGGGAAAGCAAACTAATGGGATTGCTTGTCACAATTTAGCAAAAAAACGATTGATGCTCCCTAGCAAGAAAGCTACTATTTAGTGAAAAATATTTCCACTCGTTTTTAGAAAAATGCTACGAGATTAGATAAATTCTTTTTGGCATAACTTAAAAGAACTAAATAAAAAATATAATTATCATCACGCTAATGGTAACCAAAGAAGCAGAAAAAAATAAAGTAAAGCAAGCCCGTAATCGGAAATATAAGTCGCTAATCAAAAATCAATTCAAGAAAATTGAGGTTTATTTACAAAAACAAAAAGTTAACGAGAACACAGTTTCGGCTCAGCAAAAAGAATTGGAAAGTTTGTTTTCAGAAACACAAAAAGTATTAGACAAGGCCAAAAATAAAAAAATAATCCACCCGAGAAAACGTGACCGCAAAAAAAGACAATTATATAAAAGCCTGAATAAATTAAGGACCACAAAAGAAGTTAATTCAGAAATATAATCATGGAAAAATTACTATAAAACTTTAATATACCTAGCAAATGAGACAACAATGCTGGATCAATATTTATTACGATTATGAAAGTTTTTCCTAATTATCTGAAACAATGTTAAATACATTTTAGAAGAACAGATTGACTGCTACTTTCTCGCTGCGGATTAGCAATAAGCAGAACAGTTGACAGAGAGAGAGAGAGAGAGAGAGAGAGAGAGAGCAATCTCACAGCAACAACAACTTTGCTCCCAAATTTCCACCTTAGAATCTAATCCTAATAAAACTCCTGAACAAGAACAAGAATTAACTGCTAAGAAACAGCAATTAGAGGAGTAAGAAAGGAAATTGAGAGAATTGGAGAGTAAGAATAAAAGGGACAATAATACTTCTGAAAATAAACCTGATAATAAAATTGGTCTTTATGTGGGTAGGGAATAGTTGGAATATTGGCTTTGCTTTTAATTATTATTCTGATGAGAAATCGTCAGAAAAAGGGTAAAGTGAGAAAGTAAAGTGTGAGTTGAGTGAAAATTTAAGAATTTTAACCAAATAACAATAAAATATTCAAAAATAATATGGTAAATGCTCAAGAATATATAAACGACAAATATCCAATAGAAGGAACATGTAAAAGCAATAGCGATAAAGAAAATCAAGGCAGAAAAAGAGACGAAATAACCACATTAGATCTCAGTAAAGGCAAAGTTGGCAAAGGAATTTTTAACGATGGCAAAACTTTGACTGGTTCTTTAAAATTAGAAGGTTTTGCTAAATTACGAAAATTAATAATTTCTTCTCAACAAATAACAGAACTAGATGTTAGTGAATGCAGCAATCTCACGGAATTAGATTGTCAGAGTAATCAAATAGATAAATTAAATGTTAATAGTTGTTCTAATCTGAAAATTATTAATTGTTCTAACAATCATATTAGAGAATTAGATTTAAGTGCTTGTCCTGATTTAGAAGAAGTGGATATAAATAATTGTCTGGAACTTAAAATAGATAAAATAACGACCGAACTTTATCATGATGAAAATAGTGGTAAATTAATAAAAGGCAACTCGCAAAAAGAAACAAAAGTTGGCCCCCAAATAAGAAAGGCTGAAGATAATGATATTAGAAATATTCTAATAGTTGGCATCACTGGCAGTGGCAAATCTACTTTGGCTAATGTAATAAGTGGAACTAATAAATTTAAAGAAAGTGGAGCAAGCATCAGCGTAACTAAAGAAATTCAAAAAGAAGAATTTGTTGAAAATGATATTAGTTATGCAGTAATTGATACCGTAGGAATAGGTGATACCCAATTAAAAGAGGAAGAGGTGTTGGATAGAATAGCAGAGGCAGTTTATTTGGCCCGGAATGGTATCAGCCAAATCTTTTTTATTACTGGTGGTCGGTTTGATCAATATGAAATGTCTATTTATAACTTATTGAAAACGATTATCTTTGATGAGGCTGTCACTGATTACACTACTATAGTGCGAACTAGGTTTCCCAAGTTTGAGAATAAAAAAGAATGCCAAGAAGACATTAAAAAAATGTTGATTGAAAAAGAACTTTGCGAGATAGTCAATTCCTGTCAAGGAAGAATCGTTCACGTTAGTAATCCACCTATAGAGGGAAAGATCGGCGAAGAGTTAGAAATGAATAAAGAAGAAAGAGATGAATCAAGGAAGGTATTGCTCTACACCAAATATACAACAATTGTCAAAACGAAAGGGATTATAAACCTCCTAAATTACAAACCCTAAGTACCAAAATTTCTGATTACATGAAACAAAAAGTAAGAAAAAGAGAGGAATTAGAAGAAAAAAAGAAGAAACTGGAAGATAATAAAACAGAGTTAGTTCTTCAGCAAGAAGAAGAAATGTTTATCATGCCTGGAGCCTTCCCTTCTCTTTCAGCACTTCGACCATTTATACCTAACAATCTTAAGCATAGAATCACCACATTACGAGAAGAAATAAAAGAACTAGAGGAAGCCAAAAAATTAAAAGAAGAAATTACTGAAAAAGAAAAGGCCATTCGGAAAGAAGTTTTAAAGCATATATTCAACAATTATAGTGAAATTACGAAAGTAATGGGAGGATATGCTTTTATTAACAGTGTTGTTAGAGACGGGTTTGATCTTTCTCAAGTAAAAAGAATATGGATAATAACTTTGATGAACTTTGAAAGCAACTGCAAGCATTAGAAAAAAATTCGGAAGACAAAGAAGATTTAATGATTTTATCGCTAGATGAGATTGGGACTACAACAGAAGAAAGAGTAAAAGCATTAGTTGAGTTAAATAAACAGTTGTTAACTGATGAAGAAATATTCGAAGAATGACAAAAACAAGGATTTTCTGTTGCCGAAGCCAACCAATGAGTTGATGTTCTGAGAAATAATTTTAATCCGGAAGATGATGCTTCCTTTTGTTCCTGGTTGCGAGATAATAAAAAATTAACTGTTGAAAAAATACAAGTTTTGGATTATCCTCTTGATGTCGGAAAGTTGCGAAAAGAATATACCAATCAGTTAAAGAAGGAAGTTGAGGCAATTGACCATCATAATCAACTGTTTGAAGAAAGAAGAAATAAAAAAGTTGTTAAAAGGAAGTTACTGGAAGCAAAAAAAGAGAAACGAACGGCAGAATATGAAAGCACCCGCAACGAGTTAAAAAGTATTCTCTCGCAGTATGGTTCTAAGGCAAAAGTCGCTGATGAGTTGGAAAAAGATGCCAATAAATTAAGAGGTGCTATTGAAAATTTATTAGAAAGAGTACAAAAAAATAAACCTGTACACGAAGCGGAAGAATTTCAAAATCAAATCGAGCAACCTTCCAAGCAAAGTTGCCGAATAACCTAGTGATTATGATTTAAAAAATAATTATATAGTAAAACTAATATTTATCCCTTATGAATACTAAGAATATCTTGTATGACTAAAAAAACCCGAGATACCAAAAGGAAAAAGAAAAAACAACCACTCCGAAGAGGAGAAGAACACACTAAAAAAAGATAATTATGCCAACCAAAGATAAAAAAACTATTACTCAATCCAAACCCACTCATAATCTAATTTGTTGAAAAATAAATCTAGTAAAAAAAAGAAGGTAGTTAAACCTAAAATCACGAAAAAGCAAACCACTTCCAAAAAAGTTAAGAAGTAAAAGAAAATTTGCGGGAATTTGAAAAGAAAAAAGAGAGAAATTTAGACGTTTTCGACTAAATTAACACAAAAAAAATTAATCTAGCATTCACTAATAGGACCAAAGAGAAAATAATTTTTTCATGAAAATAATTACGATAATCGGAACCAAGGAAGTTGGAAAAACCACTCTTTTTCGTCAATTGGTAAGGTGTTTTTCGCTCCAACCAGGCAAGAGTAAATTTAACCCCAGTCCGGTAATTAATTATGCTGAAAATTTAATCAAAATAGATGATAATTTTTACCGATTAATTGACACACCAGCCTTCATTTTTTCACCCCAAAATGAAATAGAAAAAGGGATTAAAAAACAAACTGAGGATTTATTAAAAATCAGCGACTTAATTTGCTTAGTAATTGACAAGCAGGACGAGAGAGCATTTGCTTTAAAAAAATATTTAAAAAAATTTTCGGCTTCTCAGATTTTAATATTTAATCAAAAAAATGATGAGAAAGGAGAAAATTCTTTTTCCTGCTCCACTCTGAATTCACCATATTTTTTGGCAATTTCGGTTCTCCGAGCCACCGATTTGGAAAAATTAAGCCAGCAAATAATTTCTCTTGTGCCGAAATCGGCTGATGGAGAAACCAAGCAGCAAAATCAAGAGTTAAAATTACTAATTTTTGGACCACCCAATTCCGGCAAATCTACCCTCATGAATTATCTATTACAGGAAAATCGCTCCTTGGCTACTCCGATTGCTGGCACTACCCGAGAGCCGGTGATTAGTGATTGAAATTTGGAGAAGTCTCTGCAAGGTCTCTTTCCACAAACAAAGGAAATTTTTGGGGAACAAAGAAATGCTACCTTTGAATTAGTTGACACAGCCGGTATTACCAAAGAGCAAAAATTAAAAGAGAGAGCCTGAAAAAATTGTGATTTAGCCTGGGCGGTATTGGACGCTACCTTGCCTTTAACCAAACAAATACTCCAAATTGTCAATTTAGGAGAAAAACACAATAAACCACTCATTATAATTGTCAATAAGTACGATTTATTAGCGGAAAAGAAATTCCGAGAGACAATTGGCGGAGAAAAAAAAAATTCTTTGGTAGAACCAAAAAAGGAATTAGAAAAAGAATTAAGAAATCGTCTAAAATCGCTAAGTTATGTGCCGATAATTTTTCTTTCGGCTTTGAAGGGAACGGGAATGAAAAGACTGCTAAAAATCCTCAAAGAAATGCTGACCCAAGCCCAAAAAAAAGTTTCCAAAAAAGAATTAGCAGAAATAGTGGCAAGAATGGTGATTAATCACCCCCCCAAATATTTCAAAGGCAATAAATTAAAAATCTATTTTGCCAAGCAAGAATCTGGTTTGACCCAAACCTTTATTTTTTTCGTGAATAACCCCCAATGAGCCCATTTTTCTTATCAAAGATATATGGCTAATTATTTACGAAAAAATTTGACTTTAGAATCTCTGCCGATTAAAATAATTTTGAAAAAAAGTGAATAGTAAAAATTTGCTAACTTTTTTGAGTTAATTTTTCGGCACTTATTTTTTTATTTTGCTTATAAAATAATTTCTCTTGTAGAATTTGTCAATATACTTAGTGGAATTTCATATCAAATTTGTCAACTCATATTCGGTATTAGAGATATTTTGACACCCTTAGAATTTTGGGTAAAAAATGTTTTAGTTCCTTTTTTACTAATTTTTGGTTCTCAACCGTCATCAATTTTAAAAATATTTGAATCGGCATAAAAAATTTGATATATAAATCGCTTTCCTAATTTGTCTACTTCTTCACGGTAAGGTATAAGAAAAGTATCATATCTATTCGAATTTAAAAATTCTTTTATTTTATCTAAATCTCCTTCAAAACGTCCTGTTCTATGACCAGAAACAACTACGCTTGTTTTTTTAATTTTTCCTGATTTAATTTGTATATCATTAACTTTATCGTTTGCTTCTGTTATTCGAATATCTTTATCAACATCATGACCTCTGCCACTTCAAGCAACGCTTTCACTTTTACTATGATCGCTTTTTATAGCTCTAACAATTAATTCTTCCAATTGTCATGCTTCGCAACGTCCTTCGCTAAAAAGGCTATGAAATATCTCTAAATCTTTTCCAAGATTTTGAATCATTTTATCTGTTAACTTATACATTATTACTCTCAATTTTTATAAATTATTTCTTTATTCATTACCTTTTGTTTGTCGTTTCTTATTAACTCGATTCATTTGTTGGCATATTCTACATATTCAGGATTTATTTCAACTCCTAAATACTCTATATTGTTAATTTCTGCTACTATACATTCTGATCCTGACCCAACAAAAGGTATTAAAATTCTGCCTTTATTGCCGTTTATTCTTGAAAAAATTAGTTTTTCAGCTAATTGAATTGGCTTTTGAGTTGGATGAATTATTAAATTATGATTTTCATGGTTTTTTTTTTCACTTGAATGATATAAATTTTTATTACAGTCTTTACACATAAAATGTCTTTCAACCATTCCAGCACCTCCTGCTAATGCTGGAATTGTAATAACATCTCTCGGCAATGCTCCTTGCCCATTAACTTTATAGGTTGTGGTTTTATTTCCAAATCTGCCCCTTGTATTAGCACGCTCTTTACCATTTAACTTTAAGTAATTATTAGTGTAGGGTTCTCTTATTTGATTGATTTCTAAATTTGGTCTTTTATTTTTTCATAAGCATAAAATAGCTTCATGTGATCTTTGTCAAAAATTTGAAGATGGAGAAGTTTTATTAGTATAATGTCAAATTAAAAATCTTTGTTTTTCCAAAGGAAATTGAGAAGCTACCCTAGCTAAAATTTCAGAAAAACCATAAACATATATTAATCCGTTATCTGATAATAGTTCTAAACATTGTTCAATTCAGCTTTTAACTCAATTAATATAGTTTTGTAGTTCCATATAATCAACATTATTTCCAAAATCTTTCCCAATATTATATGGAGGGTCTGCTATTATCACATCAAATTTGTTATTTCTATCTAATTTTTTCAAAACTTTTACAACCTCACCTTCAATAATTTTTGATTTAAATTTTTTCATTACTTTTAAATTCATTTGATGATTTTTGTAATTTTTATAAGAATGTCCGGCGGAAAAAAAACTGGCTAAATACAAAAACCAGAAATAAACACACCGCCGGACTAATTATGAAAACACTTTTCTTTTAAGGGGAGAAAACAAAATTAAAGAACCCCATGTTATTGTGGGGCGAACAGTGAGAATTGAACTCACGAAAACTAGCACCACAAACTAGCGCGTTAGCCATTCCGCCATGTCCGCCAACTTGGAGCGAGTAACGGGAATCGAACCCGCGTAATTAGACTGGCAGTCTAAGGTTCTACCACTGAACTATACTCGCAACTCATTATTATTTTTTATTTCGTTAAATCAAAAACTAAATCTATTTTTTCTCTAATCATTAACATTTCCTTTTCGGTCAACTTTCCTAATTTCTCAATCAGCCTTGACTTATCTACTGCCTTAATTTTGTCCAATATGACCAAACCTTCTTTGTTGTTAACTATTACCGGCACTTCAAAATCTAAAAATGTTTTGGTTCTCTTGGCAATCGGAGTCATGATAAAACGGTAATTTCACTTATTTAAATTGTCAGTAGAGACAACGACACCTGGTCTAATCTTTTTTATTTCACTTCCTCGAGCCTCTTTTCTCCCAATTCAATATAAATAAACTTCACCCTTTTTAACTTCACCACTCACCATCATTATTTAATTCCTCGTCAAGGTCAACATTATTTCATAATTTTAATTCTTTTTCTCTTTCTTTATTCTTAATGGCTCGCCCGTAGTTAGCAAAAATGTCTATCTTTTTGGAGTTTTTGGATTTTGGTTTGGATGAGTTAGTTGGCTGTTTTTGGAGAGTTTCCATCAATATCCGGTAATCAATCTTTTTGCTCTTTAAGAAGTTTTGGATTAATTGACTTTGGTGGCCCTTGTTGATTTCTAAAATTATTATTTCTTTCATATCCTTATCTAATTGAAAATATTGGTCCCCGGCAATTTCACATCTATTTTAGTCTTGTCAGACAAAATATTGTATTACTTCTATTTCTCATATATTATATTATTTTTTACTCTAAATCATTTTTAAGATATTTTTTTTGATAAAGGGAGAAAAAGAGTCAACCAGTCAAGATAGAAAGAGGGATTGTGAGCGAAATGAAAATCAATGGATAGTCCAGAATGGTTTCTCGTAAAAAGTAGGCAATGGAATAGAATAGAAACACTGGCACTATAAGAACTAGGCCAGCCAAAAAAGGATTGGTCTCCTGAAAATAAAAAAGCAGAGGAACGATAAACAAAAAATTAACCACCGCAAAAGCCAACCCATTGAGTAATAAAAAGATGAAAGCGGTCGCTATCCCCACTTTAACGGCGGCCAAAAAGTAAATAACCAGTAATCCCGTCAATACCAGATTAATGCCCATAAACCAGGTAAATGCGGCGGCGAACTTGGCTAAAATGACGGTTTTGCGGTCAACACCCGGAGTAAAAATCAAAACTTTGGTGTCCTCATCCCGGCGTAATTTTGGAGCCCGGAAAAATTGCCTTTTTTGAAATTCCTCTCATCCCAAGCCACGCCCCACCAGATAGGAAACAAGAGGGATAATAGTCATGCATAAACCCCAAAACTGAAAAAATGAAATTGCTCAGAAAATAATTAATTTTCTCTGCCAAGTATCAGCCCATCCAAAAAGTTTTCGAAATATTTCTGGTCTAAAAAGAAGAGCGACCCAAATAAAAGCAAAAAGAGAAAAATAAAATAGCACTACCGGAATTTTCTCCACTAATTTAGCACAATAATAACGATAAAGTTTTGAAAATACGGTTTTTTGATATTTAAACATAAAGTAATTTTAATTTAGATCCTCCTCTTGATATCTTAAATAATAAAGGGTGAGGAAAAAAATCCCGCAAACTAAGGAAATAATGGTAAACCAAATGGGGTCAAAGAAAACGCTTTCCACCTTGTAAGGTCAAGCCATTGAAGTTAATAATTTAAGACCGCCTCAGAGCAGAGGGAAAAAGGATATTAAGGTTGAGAACATTCATTTGCTACTGCCCAATCAGGAACTTAAAAATAGGTAAGGAGCAAAAATCAGACCAAAGAATAAAATCGGCCCGACAATAGTAGTTATTAAAGTTAGCAAAGCAAATCAAGGAAAGGAAGTTTTTGAGGCTAACCATCAATAATAAATGCCAAACGGAATTAAAAAGAGAACAATATTAATGAGAAAATAAAAAGTTAAAAAAGCGAAAATCTTCCCCCAAATTATATCACTTCTTTTTACTCCAGGGGTCATAATCAGAACCAACTCCTCCTCCCCCTCGCGACGGGGCGAGAAAAATGTTTTATCCAAAACCTCAAAAATGAACCAATACAAGACCACAAGACCACTTAAATTTCACCAAGAAATATTAAAAAGCATTTGTCAAAAACTTTTCTCTCCCATTTTGTTATAACCATCTGTTTGTGAAAAAAAGAAAGTGTTGTCTGCCGACCACGGAGTAGAAAAAAAAGCATTGCCACCATTATCATAACTTCGCCAAGTCCAAAATTGCAATCTTTCTGGGTATCCCCAATCTTTCACTTCTTCATCGCCTTCTTCTAATTTCTTTACATACTTTTCTATTATTTCTCTGTTAGATTTTTTAATCCTATCATTTTTCCACGCTCCAAATCTTAACCTGTTTCCATCTGAAAAAGAGTATGCTTTGTCCCATTTACTTTTTGTTTCAGGGTCTAATTTTTGAAATTCCTCCGAATTTGCTGCTTCTACTGAGCTTTTAAAAGCTTTCATTGCCGCCCACGGAAGCACAAATCACCACACCACTCCAATTAAAATGGTGAAAATGAGAATTCGCCCTCAATTTTTTTGTCAGATTTTTCCCAAATAGAATCTATATAATTTTCCGATCTGCGACATAATTTAATTTATTATAATTCAAGTAATTGTTGGTCTTTTTCAATAAAATACTCTTCATAAGTCTTTTCAATGTCAGCCGTTTTCGGACCTGTGTAAACAATGCGCCCTCTCCTAATCATAGTAATATCGTCGGCTAATTTTTGGAGGTCAGAAAGAATGTGGGTTGACATTAAAATGGTGCCGCCTTTGTCGCGAATATTTTTCAAATTGTTAAATAAATTTCGGCGAAAACTCGGGTCTAAACCATTAAAAGGCTCGTCCAGTAAATATACCCTTGGTCGGTAAAGGCTCAAAGTGAAAACTTGGAGGATTTTTTTTCAACCAGTCGAGAGAGAATTACAGTTTTGCGAACGAAATTGGGAAAGCGGCGAGCCGGCTAGTTTTCGTAATACTATTTTTTTCGGAATATCTCGTAAGTAACCGCAATCTAGCAGATATTTTTCTACTGTCAAGTTCTGAAATTTCGGTTCAGCAGGAATAAAACCTAATCGCTCATTAAAGCGAGGGTCGTGGTTAACCGATTTGCTTTCGATATAAGCCTCGCCGTGGGTTGGCAAGACTAAGCGGTTCAAAATGCTGAGGGTAGTCGTTTTACCGGCTCCATTAGGACCAATAAAGCCATGAATAGTTCCTTTTCGCACGACAAAAGAAACATTATTTAAAACTGTTTTATCGCCATACCTTTTACCAATTTGTTTAATTTCAATTACTTTCTCGGACATATTTTTGTTTGCTTATTAAATTAATTTTATAGTATTTATAATTTTCCGCAAGCCAAAAAACTCCTTTTTAATCAACATGGACGGCCTTCTTTTAATTGACAAACCGGCAGGAATTACCTCTCATAGAGTTATTGAAACTATTCGCAACAAAT